TGGAGCTGGAAGCTGAGAACTGGCGACTTTGTAGTACAACTTTAGTACGCGGAGTATCTGTGGAGCTGGAAGCTGAGAACTGGCGACTTTGTAGTACAACTTTAGTACCCGGAGCAATCTGGGGAGCTGGAAGCTGAGAACTGGCGACTTTGTAGTACAACTTTAGTACGCGGAGTATCTGGGGAGCTGGAAGATGAGAACTGGCGACTTTGTAGTACAACTATAGTACGCGGAGCAATCTGTGGAGCTGGAAGCTGAGAACTGGCGACTTTGTAGTACAACTTTAGTATGCGGAGTATCTGGAAGATGAGATCTGGCGACATTGTAGTACAACTTTAGTACGCGGAGTTTCTGGGGAGCTGGAAGATGAAAACTGGCGACTTTGTAGTACAACTTTAGTACGCGGAGCAATCTGTGGAGCTGGAAGCTGAGACCTGGCGACGTTGTAGTACAACTTTAGTACGCGGAGCAATCTGGGGAGCTGTAGTACAACTCTAGTACGCGGAGCAAGCCGTGGAGCTGGATGCTGAGAACTGGCGACTTTGTAGTACAACTTTAGTACGCTGCTGAGTCATCTCTATTCTGTATTTTGCAAAAATGCATGAACAACGTTTTTTCCTGCGAGACAGTTGACGGTGGTTGCTTCGCTTTCGCTCCATTGGTCGGTTCCAACTTGTTTTGTCAAAGAACATCGCAGCTCGGCGAATCAGCCTGCCACATGCCCATTTCCTATAGGTTTATTCTTTTGGAAACTTCCGCCGCCGGCTTGCCCGGGAACTACTTGTAACTTGTAACTAGAACAACAAAATAGCTTTGCCACAGGTCAAAGCTAGACAAGAAGGCAGGCAATCAGGTCCAAAGGATGCCTCCTCTCTTCAGCGAGCTGGCTGTGCAAATCCTGCTCATCTGTCCATACTTGAACTAATCTGAAGAAGTTTCTCAGCAATGAATGATCGATGATGATATGTCTGTCGATCAAGCAAGGAGAAGCACGAACGTCAAATTGAAATGATCCGGATGTGCAATTAATCACCGCAAAAACTGCCAAAGTTCCAAAAACATCGCTGCAAATGCTGACCCTCGTCTCTTGCGGTATGCCACAAGTACGGCTTCGCAGCTGCAAGAGTCGTCGCTGAGCCTGGCAGAAAAAGGGTAAGTGCTGAAGCGCCTAAGCCTAAGCACTCTTAAGTCAAATCATATAGCACCTTTGAGACCTCCACTAGGTGGGCCATCTGTTCAATCTGGTTTGGTGCATTCATTTGGTTCTGATTCAGTTGGACCTCTTTTTCCACGACCACCTCTTACAAAAGGTATGAGCTCAAATAGGTGTGGGATGGGCCGATTCTCAGATTTATCAAGATCATCAGTCTCAGAACCAACGACATCCTTAGACCATTCCTCGTGCTGCGCAAAGCTCTGATTGGTACATCCGGCCTCCAAGAGTTCTCGCTCCAAAGCGGCCATGCGCTCGTGGGCCTTCTTGGTGGAGGAGATCTTCATTCGTAGCTCCAAGGCGGGCGCCCACCCCTGTCAATTGGAGATACTCGGAGAACCCTCAGTGATGCGGAGACTAACAGTGACTAACACCATCTTGGAGGTCACAAAAATAGAATCGTTTATAGGCGAGAGGGGTGGGGATATGGCACATTAACCCCAACATCCCACCGATAAGTCCTTTCAGCTTTGAGCCGGCCTGGTCTGGACCAAGTGGTCCAATTGAGTTAGCCTGCTCCACCTGAGATGGCATTCCGGTCTTGACTGATTGCTGGTCAGGTGTTCTTGAATTTTGTGGTGCAACAAAACAAGAAATAGTTTCAACTTGTTTCAACTATCAGCCTAAGTAGTTGTCGCTACTACTGAGACGCTGCAGTTTGGTTAGAACGCCCTCAAGTCCGATGTTTCACTGTGACCAATGGCGCGCTTCTTCACACATCAATAAATTCTGTGGGAAATCATCCCGTACAAGAGGGCCATCGGAGCGTACACTCTCTCCCTTCTCTCTTCTCTCTTCTATTCTCTCTCCTCTTCTCCGCTCTTCCTTTAACTTTCTTTGCACCGAATTCTCACCCAGCTGTAGTCACGAAGCTCACTCTCTCTCTCCCTCTCTCTCTCACTTTTCGTGCAAAAAGTGCTCGACAAACAATCAGTTGTTGTCGACACCAAATCGAAGAACTCAAAAGTGCTTTCTCCCATCATCCACATCCTTGTTGCTCGCATGCTACGGACGATTGCAATCCCTGGAAGCATACTAAGAACTGCGCGTATCCTCCAGCATGCAGCTCCCAGTCCACCCGTCTCAGGCCACGCACAAGGAATCAATACAAGGAGTTTTGCGTAGCTGAATGTTAATGCCTCGGTTGTGCTTTTGGAGGCACAAAAAGCTCATTGGCTACCAGTATTGACTTAGTAACTTAGTAGGTGCATTCGCCCAGCATGAATCTATTCTTGAGACTCAATTCAGAAGATGAAGCGAAAAGAGGATGCATATGCAGAATAATGAAATTAATGCAGCTACCGCTGAATGAAGTCGTTGGTCCGGCATCTTATATCTTGTCGGCTTCCGGGCACTGAACTCCGAAGAGTTTTGTCTAATTTTAGTCTATAGATGTCTATAGTATTCTATAGGTCTGTTTTTATTGAAAAATACACACTCGGTGCACACGCACCGCTGATTTCACCCGTGCAGGTCTGATTTCAGTCCTTCGCCAACGCTCAAAAAGGTCGAAGGAGAGGGAACGCTCCAAGTCATCGCATTGGCGACGTAGCACTTGCAGAGAAGCCACAAGGCCCTGCCACAAGGCACAAAATTCTGCAAAATGATCTTACACACAATCACAACCTAGACCAAAGGGTTTGGCTTTGGTTCCAGGCTTGGAGGTGAAAGGTTGTGATCAGGGCCTGGTTCCACGAGAAGAACCCTATAGCCTCCAGCTATCTGGGGAAAGATACAAAAAGCAGGGATGATAACTTGAGACGACCACTAATCAGTTACTCATTGCTTGCTTTACAAGGCTAAAGCCTAGAGCAAGGCACCCTACAAATCCTGGTGATGCACTAAACGCGCAACGCCCGGCGCCTTCGTGTTGTTGTGTCTGCTGGGTGGCGGACTGATAGATGAAAGTTGCTTGTGGAAGGCCTGCAGTGCAACAAGCCACGCACACCATTTCCACAGGAGAATGGCTGTTATATGTTGTTATCATATCATTTTGTCTTGTGCCCTCTGACAGTTGTGACAGCTCCAAAATGCTCAAAGCAACAATTCCCCTGATGCCACTAGGCTGCCTCTTCTGCTTTCTTCAGCTTTTGCTGTGCCAGGCCTTCCTCACAGAAACAAGATTTTGTCAGAATGAGCAGTGCTTGAATTCAAGAGGGCTACTTGGACAGGGAGTGACCCAACACAAACAAAGGAAAATCCATGGAAGGCTACCCAATCCTCAGCGAGCTGCATTTGTTCAATGTTTTTTGTGTTGACTTTTGGCAAACGTGAAAGCAGTTCCCCCATGCGAAGGCTACCCGAGCCTACACTAAACGGATTGCGCAGGCACACAATTGTAGCTGACCCTAAAGAGGAACCCTACGACGATTGCATGGATTGTCAGCAAGAGCATGCTGCAGTTGCACCGTGCCAGTCACCCGCCATCTCCTGCTTTAGAGCGAATGCCAATTCTTGCTGCACTCTCCTGAGCAGTCTACAATGCAAACGTGTGCAGCTTCTAGCCAAACCGACTGGGTCATAACTTGGTCTCTTTACATGTCACATCAGAATCATCAGCTGCTGCAGAAGGTCATCTACAGCTCAATTTGAAAGCTCAATTGTCTACAGCTGCTTGCCAAAGCACTCGATCTGCCAGCGGCATTGCGCAATCGCTGTGCGAATCTGCTCCCTTTGCTCCTTCAATGACGATCTGCTGGTGCCATGGGTGCCATGCTTCATGCATTGCGGCCCATCTGAAAGCTGGCTGTTTCAGCTACTGAAGCGCATACTGTTTCAGCTACTCGATGCTCTATGCTTCTCTGTTTCTTTGCATGATTTTGTTGACAAAAAGCCAACCGGGTGTGCAGTAAAACAACTATAGCCAGTCCTAGCCGGTCAGCCGAGTTCCCTAGCCCCATACGAGTTCCCTAACCACCGTTATTATATATATATATAGATGGATTTGGATGTCCCTCAAGGCCTCTTATCCA